GTTGAATTCAGATGGCAATATGATGAGGTCATAATGTCCGATCAACCATTATGATCTATAAAATCATATTTACAACTCATGTGCTTTCAGAATATGTAATAAAAATTTGGGGTCACCTTTCATCCTAAAGAGCTGTAACTGTTTAAAATGAGGCCTAATTTTAGCAAAATTTCACTGTATATCGGAACAAATGCGCACAAGGGTCACTATGTTTGATGCGTGCGTACGGCATTGTTATTGGCCATAGAGTGATTGAAAAGATTGGAAACTTGTCAAAACAATGTCAGGAACCCAAAATGTGACAAAAACATTAAAATCTAGGTTCCATACGTGCTGCGCGCGTAAAAATGCGCATGCGTTGTGGTAAATTTCAAAAAATTTTGAAATGCTCAAAATGACTTGAAACGTGCTCTAATTTAATCTAAATGTGATTTCGAGCATTTTAAAATTTTGACGCGTGCGTTATGACGCGCACGCGTAAAATTAGGGTACATTACATTTAACATTGACTTGAAGTTAATGCTCACTTAATACGATTTCGAAATGGCAATTGGTTAGACTGATATGAACGATAATGTAAAAACGCAAAATTGCCTGAAATGTGCTCTATTTTAATCTAAATGTGATTTCGAGCATTTTAAAATTTTGACTTGAAGTTAATGCTCACTTAATACGATTTCGAAATGGCAATTGGTTAGGCTGATATGATCGATAATGTAGAAACGCAAAATTGCGCGTAGATGATGTCACGTATAACTGATAACTGCGCTCATTGAAAACCTTATTGTGACTATTCCAGGCCAAGTTAAATGTTTGTTGAAACGTGCATGTATGAATCTCGTGCCAATTTTTAGATCGTGCTAACAAGAAATGGGGAGAAAAAAAAAAGATCTGACAATAACAAGAGGTGATCCGCTAGCGGAGCGGATCACCAATTATTTTGCTTTGAACTTATTTGACTTCAAATATGGCGCATGTGTGCGTGGGACCTCATGCAGAGATCCCAAGTCTCCCGAAAATCGCGGGTTTCTCCCGAATTTTTAGGCCGTCTCCCGCCCTCCCGATTTTTATTAATATCTCCCGATTTTTAAAAATATCCCGAAAATGTCACGAAAAATGTGATTTCCAAGATGTCATAGAGCAATGAAACAAAAATTCTTATCTTAAGCCAATATACTATGGCGCCATAAAATGTCATAAACAAGGCCAGGGAGTTGTTAATTAAGTTGTTTATCAAAATAACTCCAGGGCAAGGCAGGCGTGGTAGAACCGCCTTGTTTATCCTCCATGTTACGATCTTTTGCATCCAGCGCCGACCTCATTCAATGAAATGGCTGTCAGTTGAGTAAATAAATTTCAACAAATTAACGAAATCAGAAATCACATGAAAATGGATGGGGCCCAAAGTTTTCACCGCGAAGATTTGGAACAGAATTGGTGCTTTCAAGTAAGCTTCAGTTCTTTAATAACAATACTAAAAAAAATATAGTTAATAGATTTTGGTACTAAGCAGTCTTCCGAAAAATGAAGTTTATTTTAATATCGATCCCGAAATATATGTAGGGCTTAGGCCTAGCTAGGCTCTATCTGCACTGCAGGGTATGTACTGTATATGTGTTGTGTTGGGTTGGCGTCTGTGTGTAGTGATGGTCGTGACTCTGCGGCCTTCGGCCTAGTTACGCATGTATAGATGGATTTAATGTTTTTTCATGGCATTATGTACCAGTTATTATAGTATAAATTACATAAATACAAGAAACAGAAAAGAAAAACAAATGGGTAAATTAAATTAGATTTTTAAAGGATTGTAAGGAAAGGGAAGAAATATTGCTACAAATGTCTGATAATTGAGTTACATAATTTAATTGAGCGATATTTAAAAGTTCTTTTTCCAAAAGTATTTCGCAATTGTGGTAAGACTATTAAAGTGTTTTTCAATTTATGCTATGGTAGGCATCAATTAATTTGTAAAAATTAGTTATTGTAAATACTCAGCAACAGTGCCCGATAACTGTCTCTTATACACATCTAGATGTGTATAAGAGACAGACCAAGCAAAGCCTTGTTGACTGCTGCCAAGAACGCTTTACTAGCAAAATGCTAAATAAATAATAATATTTATAAATTTATATTTTAGGCCAACTGCAATGTGTAAACAAATGTAAAATTGTTAAATAAAAGTAAACAAATTGATGAAAATTGTTTGTTTTCTTCATTTTGTGTAATACTTTCATGTTGCACAGCGTGTTGTAAGGCGTCACAGTGCGTCGCTACAGGAGACGATCGCTTCATGAAAAAAATCTCCCTATTTTTTGGTTTTCAAACTTGGGATCTCTGCCTCATGTAATCTTGAAACAAGATTTTGTGATAAAATATCAGGAATACTCCAAGTGAACTCATTGTTTACTGTTCAGTTTCGTTACTCGGGCGCAATACTTAGTTTTAGTTGGTTTTCTGGCAGGTATGGCACCAGAGAATTATTTTGTTTGTGTCAGTATTAGGTGAACACTCCATCTAAACTGTTCACATCCTTTTTTTTTTCACACCATTTTATCAGGGTTAGAATACACATTAAACAGCAGGGTGCTGTTAATCACTAAATAACTTAGCCAATGTGTGAAAATCAGTGATGCATGTATCAAAGGACTTAGCCGATCGTGTTAGTCACGTGCAACAACCCGACTTTTTGCCCCAAAATTTGTTGGTTTTAAATTTTCAGTGATATGACTGTGACAATGGTAGCATCCCCCTGATTCTTGATTATAAATCACAATAATTACAGTTCCTTAAAAAGGTAAAGATGCCAGAAGTTGAACCAAGTGTTAACCAGCAGAAAGAATGACCAATATTTGCTTGATTTTGTTTCTGGTTAGAAAAATAATCTTGATAATCAGTGGTTTTTGTCATGGTCATAGTACTGTATATGCAGTGGTTCCCTCCTAGGGGTCCGCAGTGGCATAGCTAGGGGGTCAAGGAGGGGCACGTGCCCCAGGCGCCAGGTTTGTGGGGGTGGAGGAGGTGCTGAAATGGGAGAATGAGAGTAAAAAAAGATTGCACTTTTTAGAAAAACACGACGAAATTGATGTATGTTGTCAGGCATGAATATTTTCCAGTTAATAATAGGAATCTGATTGTAGTTGTTTTTATTAGCAAATTTTTAGATTGTGATTTCTTTTCAATCCATTTCGACCATTTTCTTTTGGTTTTTTTTCTCCTATTCTCTAATGACTACACGACTAAAGCTTATCCTGCCATATCTCAGAGCCACGATGGGAAAAGCGAGACTATCTTCTTTGGTACTTAGTATTGAGCGTGATGAATCAGACAACATTGCTAACTTTGCTCATGTTATTAACATATTTGCTGATGCAAAAGCACACAAAATTCAGTTGCGAGTTTGAACAACGTTAAAAATTCAGCAACTTTACAAGACTCTACTATAAGATAAATTTAGAAAATAAGAATACTAAGCTGTATGCGATAAATACAACAGCCTTACAAATCATGATAATGGTAAAGTTGTACACAAAGTTCCAAACATTGTAATGCAGTTTCAATAGTAAGAAACAGGGGTGGCGCCAGGTCCCCCTTCGGGGATAGCTGTGCTCCAACCCCCCACCCCGTCGGGGAGAAAACCATAATTCGTTGGGGAAAAAATAATGAAAATAATGGTATACTCTAAAATCGATTAAATAAGCCTTTGAAACCCATAAATTTCAAAAATTTTCGGGGGCTTAGCCCCCCCCCCGCAGACCACTTTCGGAAGATTTTAAGTGACGCTCAATCACACCCACTTTGCTCTCGTCAAGGAAATCTTCCCCCTCGTCGGACCCTCCTTGGGCAAATCCTGGCACCACCTCTGGTAAGAAAGAACATATGAGTGCTAGAATACTAATAGTTATTTGGGTTTAAATGTTATTTAGACAGTGCCTGATATGGACGTATGGTACGGATATGCTTAAAGTCTATACAATCAATATCAATTTATTTCAAATTATTATAATTATAATTGGGGGTGCGGAAGGTTTCTACTCTTTCCCCCGGGCGGCAAAAACTCTTGTTACGCTTCTGGGGGTCCGTGAAAAAAATAATTGGGGGTCCGCCAAGTCAAAAGGATTGGCAGGGTGTCTGCTACATTTGTAGACCATGAACATATTACTGCTAATAATTAAGTGCCTCTATACATTTGACATACATATTCTAATATTTTATTGCTGAATCTTTTATCTATTGTGTGTATACTTTATGTAATGTTTAGATGTTTAGTTTAGTGTTTAGACAGCCACTTGATAGGGCATTGTCAGGTATTGAACATCTTGTTAACATGTTTTGTCATTGCTTTTACCTGGATATTAAATATATATAAAAATTCAGGAGCTGTAAATTTTACTAATTAAAAGTAAATAGGGGATAAAAGAAAATACACTTCTGGCCATCTAGAAGTGCTGTAGACATTTTGTACCCCACTCCAATCATGGTGGGACTGTGGTTTCTATCTCGAATTCCAGTATCTACCCCTGCTTTGTGTGTACTATTGTGAAATCGTATCGACAATGAGTAATACTTAGACATAGGGGTCCGTTGAGACACTTGACATGTCGTGAGGGATCTGCGTATGCAAAATGGTTGGGAACCACTAGTATAATGTACATTAACTTTACCAGGTATTCAACTTGAAATCATTTCTTGTTCCTTCTTTGACCTTGAAAACACCTAATACAGTACCTCTAGGAATGTCTTCCCAATGTGTATACAATACTGTTTAAGTAACCACCAGAAGGACCCTGAAAACAATTCCAATATTTTTTTTGGGGGTGGGGGAGCACTGTTATAAGTTTCAGAGTTTTATTTCCTTAATACAGTAGCAGTGCAGTTTTTCTTATTCTCACCACTACATAGTTTATTTTATTTGAAATTTAAAAATAAAAATAAAAAGAAACACAATGGAGATCTATATTAATTATATATATGTATATGATATTATTGGTTTGTAATTTCAGAATTAGGCGATTGGAATTGGAACATGATATTGACTTTACAGATCATAGCTACCAGATGAGACTGCCACTACATGCCAGATCGACAGCTTCAACATCTGTGAAAACCAACCTAAAAATTACTGAATTTTCAACAGAGCCAAACATCATAACTTGTCAACAAAAGGTAGAGAAACTTCACTGATTGAGCCATAACTGAGTAATCAAAGCAATCTATATGTTATACTGTAGGAATATGTTGTTTTTGCCCTACCTGTTTTTGCCCTACCAATTATCATTTCAAAAAATCCTTATCCTTTCATCTGTACTCAAAAATATTTAAAGTGAAAGATTTAAAAACAGTAAAATTAGGAATGTATTTTTTTAAAACTTCGGTTTACCGAAAACCTAAAATTTAAATATGGTAACCATAAGAGACCAAAACTTTTACAAAATTATTGAAATCTAAAACTAAGTTGTTACAAACATCAACAGGTTATATAGAGAGCTTTTGTTTGCACAACGACGTTACAGTAGGACATACTGTAGAACGTAATGACATCACTAAAAGTCATCTGCACATACAAGAATGTTAAGTTGTCATCGCGTGGATTTTAGGACGCAATGTAGGGAGTAAGGCCTAGGCCTAATAAAACAAAGAAGCAGCATGGAAAGTCGAAAAAACTTGCAAGGATAGGATAGTAGGAGTGGTTCTGTTCCATTGTTGCGTCGTCAAACAAATCAAAAGTTCCCTCCTGATAGGAGCACCATACTCAATGATAGGGCGACTTTGTATTACACAATAACTGTGTTGTAGTGATTAGTTGATAATTAATGGCACTTTATTTTAAATTAAATGAAATTAGGCCAAAAAAAAAAATAACACGCCAGTCAGATTCATCTGCGGTACCCTTGGCTCTCAAACACACACAGAAAGCTTCATTGATAACTGTTAGGCCTACATTTGCTGCAAGATTCCCTAATATATCGACTTTAAAAAAAACCTTGTTGAAGAGTGCCCTAGAGTAACTGCAATTAGGCCAAGGCCTGCCTATTAAAATTATGGTAAACTAGCCTAGCAATCGGTAGGGTAGGAGATTGATCGAAAAATCAGAAATCAGGAACCAAAAGGAAGCTCTAGGTGAAATATAGACTAAAAAATATTTTTGTAGGTTTCTGCATCATGTTAAAAAATGACTGGAAATTGTAAAATCGTAAAAATAAAAAGGCAGCAAAATATTTCTAATTGTAAAATTGCAAATACTGTATAAAGGGCTGCAAAAGTGAAGGGCTTTACCGTAAGTTGTTTTAATATTAACAACTTCCATGTGTCATCTGTTGTTTGTGTGTTGAATGTCTTTTGTAATTTTTGCCCATCGATTAAATTTAATATATTTCTGACCATTTTATATTTTTATATTTTTACCATACTTTATCTGTTTTAAAGTAATTTTTAAGTCTTTGTAGGGCCTACCATTTTCATCTGTATTTTATGTTGTTTTGTATTCTGATGTCCAACTTTTTAATCATGTTTTATGATGCCATTTATAAAGATATAAAAATCAAATCAAATTGTTTTTTTTTTTGTTTTTTTTTGCACAGCCACTGCAGTCTATTATTTTATGTTTTGTATATTAGACTCTAAAAATCAAATGTTGATCTAGATAAAAAATAAGTTTTACATTTGTCAGTATTTGTTTTAAACTAATTGTTTTTGTCTCTAGGCCCAAGAAGTTATAAATAGAAGAATAGAGCATAGGCAAAAGGAAAGATATGAAGATCCAGTTCGCTATAATGTTAAGCCAACCATTGGCCAACTGTCAGTCAGAAATGTGAGCATGTGAGCAGGTTTGCTAATTAAGAAAATGATTTAGACAAAGAAAGTGTAAAGTTCACAGCCAACAACAAATAATATACAAGTCAGAATATTTTGTAAGAATGTAGCTTCTGATGTTTATACTATTAAAAGTCATCATCAACATTCCATAAAGCTATACTGTATTAGTCTTAGATTGTCAATTATTAGAATATCTTTAAATTTGTGTCATATTTGTTGAATATGTAGTAGAAACCACATGTGCATTATTACAGGAGCTTTTTACATATTGAATACGTATTGGAGATGTGTACGTGTATACACACTCTGTACAAAATCTTGAAGAAAATTTTGTTTTACAGATGAATTAGCCGGTTAATTTGGTGGTCAAATGTTTCAATATTCCTCTATTGACTTGTTGGAACTGTAACAAGAGTGATTTTTTGTGATACTTTTAGTAATCCAATAAATACAGGATCAGTTTTTTGCTAGGCTATAGAAGCAGTCAGCCGGGGTCCATATACCAACGCCGGACGTTGTATACCTACGACCTGGACATCATCATCGAAACTACCGGTACCACTCGGGCCTTTGTGATTCATTCATCAAAAAATCACAGCAAAAACAAACCCAACTATTTAAAATGCATATTGGTAAGTGCACTAAACAATCAAAGTGAATTAGTTTACTCCTGCTTTACTCAAAACTGAGAAAAAATCAAGTGAAAATTTTTTGACAGCTCTTGTGTTTTTGCCGCCAAACCGGGACCATAACAATAGAGTTACGTAACTTGTTACGTGACAGGTACACTAGACACTACGCTACGTCTCTACATTGCTTTGTTTACAAACATTCAGGATGACAGTTACTGTAGATACAGTATTTTAGCTGCTGCGTGTATTTACTTCATGTTTTTACACTACACAGCAGGCCTATATACTGATGAACTTATACACACTTGCTCATATATCAGGAGAAAGAAGATAAATGTCTCACACAACGAAAGTTTGACTTCCAATGTTATATCACGTTCCAGATTCAGCCGGTGCAGGAACACCTCAAATCACATTATTTGGAGAACATTCTTTATTTGTATGCTCCGATGTGGGGATATTGAAATTAATCCTGGGCCAACACGATCTCGCACACCAAAATGCCCATGCCAAGGATGTGGTAGAGTTGTCATATCTAGAAGCAAAGCAGTAGATTGTGATGGATGTGGAAAATGGACACATATAAAATGTACACACAGATTTATAACAGAAGATACGTGCAACGAACTCATATATAGTGAACGCCCATTTTCATATATCTGTGACGAATGCTCTGTTGCAGCATTGCCGTTTGCGCCAAATGATGTTTCTTTTGATTTTGAGTCAGATGCAACAGATAATCCACCAAGTAGTAACGCGGAAAATTGCAAAAACGAAAATGAAAATGGGTTTTCTACAAAATATCGTAACTTTAAAAAGAAAGGTCTACATTTCATGCATGCAAACGTCAGATCTTTACCACCAAAAATATCTGAAATTAGAAAAATAATACACGAAACAAATGTAGCTATATTTTCTATTAGTGAATCTTGGTTGGACAGCTCTGTTCCACATGATGTGGTTAAAGTTGATAACTATATACTTTTGAGGAACGACAGAAGTAGAGATGGCGGAGGAGTCTGCGTTTATGTACGGAGTGATATGGCATTTAAAGAGAAACATGGTCTGCAAGACGAAAATATGGAAAGTTTATGGTTGGAAATAGTTCTACCCAAAACAAAGCCAATAATATTTGGAGTATGCTATCATCCCCCATGGGACAATAACTTTTCTCAAATTAACATGAGTTCTGAGATAATTATAATGGGAGACTTAAATATTGATTTAAAAAAAACAAATTCATCTTTGTATAGGAAAATAAATAGCATTTTATCTATGTTCAACTGTAAACAAATTATTGACAAACCAACAAGAATTACTCGTACAACTAGTAGCATAATTGATCACATAATTTGTAACCACATGCCTACTATCTCAGATTTTGGTACAATAGAAACAGGATTTAGTGACCATTATATAATTTTTTGTACGCGTAAAATAAACAGAGAACCTATAAATCTACACAAAACAGTCAAAATTAGATCTTTAAAAAACTACAACATAGACAACTTTAAATCTAAATTATCAGAAATGGATTGGACAAGGGTAACTTGTTCAAATGATGTTAATATTGCTTGGAATAATTTTAAAGGTTTATTACTTAAAGTAATAAACAATGTAGCCCCAATCAAAGAAAGTGCGATTAAAAGCAAGAACAGAACCATGGATGAATAATTATACAGTATTTTAGAAAGTATAAATGCTCATGACATCTTGCTTCAAAAATTTAAAAAAGATAGGTCTCAAAGTACCTATCAGAAGTACTGTAAATTAAGAAATCAGGTTAAAAGATATATCAAAGGCTAAAGCAGAATACATAAATCAACAAATTGATGAAAACAAAGGAAAATCAAAACAAATATGGAAGAACCTAAAGTCATTAGGTTATGATATTAAATCAAAATTGTCTCCTACTATTGTTCTTAAGGAAAATGATACTATATATTTTGATAGAATAGAAGTTGCAAACTATTTTAATTCCTTTTTTACGACTGTTGCTGCCAGGCTCGCTAGTAGTCTTCCAAAAGTATTTTTAAGATTTGGTGTTGCATCGCAAAAATTTAAACAATATTACAGTCAAAAGGGTATAGTGCATGGAGCATTTAAACTTAAAGAGGTTAGTGAAGATTTTGTATATAATGAACTATGTAAGCTTAATATATCTAAAGGTACCGCCATGGATGGTATTCCTGCTAGATTTTTGAAAGATGGAGCCGATATCTTACGAGGTCCTGCTACGTACATTATCAATTTGTCAATAAAAACCAATATTGTTCCTGACGATTTAAAAGTTGCGAAAGTGCAACCATTATACAAAAAGAATGATAGATCAGATGTTTCAAATTATAGGCCGATTAGCATTTTAAATGTTTTTTCAGAGATTCTTGAACGTTCAATATTCTGTCAATTAAATGATTATTTAAATACACACGATGTACTTTATGAAAATCAATCAGGGTTCCGCAAAGGTTATTCCACTGACACCAGCTTAATCCACATCAGTGATTACATAAGAACAAAATTATCAAATGGTTCATTTGTAGGTATGGTTACACTAGATTTACAGAAAGCATTTGATACTGTAGACCATGAAATACTAGCTCTGTAGTAAATTGGAGGTTATGGGAGTAGATAATAATAATTGGTTCAAGTCCTATCTAACTAATAGAAAACAAGTAGTATGTTTAAAAATAGCTAGGTCAGCACCTCTTAATATATCGTGCGGAGTACCACAAGGCAGTATTCTCGGTCCATTGCTATTCATATGTTATATCAATGATATTACAACTAGTGTAAAGTCAAAACCATTTATGTACGCAGACGATACAGCTATCATTGTAGATGGTAAAAATCCAAATGAAATTTTATCTATTTTGAGTAATGAACTACAGTCATGCAACCATTGGCTTATTGAAAACAAATTGTCGCTACATTTAGGAAAAACAGAAACTATATTGTTTGGTACAAAAAAGAAACTGAAAAATAACATAGACTTAAACATCATATGTGATGGCAATGTAATAAAAAATTTTGAATCACTCACATACTTAGGTGTAGAATTAGACAGAACATTGTCAGGCGAAGCAATAGCTAAATCAATAATTAAAAAATGCGGCGATAGACTTAGATTTATGCATAGACAAGCAAAAAGTTTAAACGTAAACTCTAAAAAAATGATTTGCTCTGCACTTATTCAGTGCCACTACGATTACGTTTGCTCCTCTTGGTATTCGTCTGTTCCAAGTCACATGAAAAAGAAATTGCAGGTTATGCAAAATAAGATGGTCCGTTTTATTAATGATGCGGGACCGCGAAGTCATGTTGGCCAAAGAGAATTAGACGAGCTTGGTTTGCTAAATGTAAATGACAGAGTTATCCAATTAAAATTAAACCATGTATATAAAATAGCCAATTCTATAGGACCAGAGTATCTTAATACACATTTTACCAAACTTTCCGAAAGGCATAATTACAATACGAGACAAAGGAGAATGAACTTTGTAAAACCTAAAATAACCAGTCAAAACAGTAAGGCATTTTATGTTACGGCTATACAAGAGTGGAACAAACTACCCTATATGATCAAGTCTTCACCTAGTTTAAATATATTCAAGAAAAGATTAAAATTATATTTAGCAGCAAAATCGGAAATGACAATCATTAAACAGTTTTAACATATAAATATGCTTTAAACATAAACATAATTTTTTTGTAAAATCTTATACATACCGCTTTTTACCTGCTTTTTTACTTACACTTTTACGTCTTTTAAGGTTTAACCAGAGTTTTTATTGTTTTTATTAATTTACTTTATGATAAGGAGTTTTAAAGGTTTTTTTAATAAATTTTAATGTTTGTTTTTTACCTGTTTTTTCACATCCACTTTTACATACTTTTAAGGTTTAATGGGTTTTATTTCTTTTATTAGTTTTACTTTTATTAGAAATTTTAAAGGTTGTTATAAATTTTAAATGTTTGTTTTAGTTTTTAACCAACTTTTATGTATTTGTTTTCATTTAATGGACCCCAACGGAATTAAACCGATTCGGTTTTTTTGGGTTATCCTGAGCTGTAAATGTTTTACTAAATTATCTTTTTATTGTTCATTGTTTTGTTATTTGTAATGTGTTGAATTATGCTAAAATAAATTTGAATTGAATTGAATTGTACATGCTTATGGACTTGACCCTCATCTCATGCTAATGACGGTTCACTGATCGATTTTGTTTTTACTAACTCTTGTGAAAAAATCCATCACTTGTGTGTGGTGGAAAACCCATTAGATAGCGATCATCACACGGTCTTCAAATTTCAAATTGACGCCGGCATCCACTTGCCATCAGTACACCAAGGGAGACTTATCCACGTTAACAACCTGCTACATTTAGTGCCGTGGTCAGCGTTCAGCGCTGCAATAAAGCTGCATACTATCCATCTCTAGGAAAGCAAGAATTCAAATAATCCATGGATTAACACATTAAGTATTTTTTAAAAGAAGCATAAATTACTTAAAATTGCGAG